AAGCCGGTGTAACTAAGGAGCAATACATTGGTTGTGAGGAACCGACATTACTGTTGACCCACGATGGTTCCAGGCGATTTGATCTGTCCCAAGAATTCATTTCGTCTTCTGCTGCGGCGTGCGTGTGGTTCCTCAGTCGTCTGAGGCTTTGTGACAGGTTTACCTGGTGGCTTTGACCGTGCTGTATGTTCAGTCACCAGTGTGTTTACTGAACCTAATAGGTATTAGGTATGACATTTGACATTTGGCCGGAGTTCTGGTTCTCTAACTCAGGCCCCCTCAGCCCCCCAGATCGCCCCGACACGGCGCCTCAGCATTGTCAAAGTGGAAAACCTGCAGCAGAATGGGCCCTGGAAGCAAGGATCAGTTAGTCGCAGAGTAAAAGTGGGAGCCCGTTTGCTGGCCTGTGACCCTCTCGTGTTAAAACCGTGACCTTAGATGCGCTGTCTCCATGAGTACGATTACAGCGTCTCTGTCATTTTGCGTCTTAGTATTTTGGGAGTTTCATCCAACTTTTTTTGTGTAACAACTTGAGTAAAATCAGTTCTGGTAGAACTACAAGAAATCTTTTAAGGACTTTGTCCTTCTTACTATTCTGTTAAAATGGACTTAGTAAGTAGTTTGCATATTATTTGAAAGCTTTGTTATTTTAAAATTGTACCAAGGTACACACACAGGTGATAATCCCCGAGGTGGAAGCCATCATACAATCTTCCTTTCGGGACGAACCAGTTCTTTCGACGAGGAAAGAATAAAGTCACTAGGAAATAAAGGGACTTCAAACCTGAAAGTGACTCAAAAACTAAGTCCGTGTTTCAAACATCATTTCAATATTTGTGCCTTCCCGTAAAACAGTTCATGGTTAACCGATGTTGAATTATTCTTCCACTCCTGCTTCTAAGCCTATTTGCCCCTGTGCTACTCTGATATGCCCATGTTAATAATGAAACCCAGCATTTTATGTGTTCATACATACACATTTAATAATATATGTTGCTCCAGCCAGTGTGTCCACAACATAAAATCAATATAAAATTATGGAGCTATTTCATCTTTATTTCATTTCTGGACCGTCTTGGCAAGGCAGGGTGTATTTCCCCCTCACAGAGCGTGGACAAGCTGCATTTCAAGTGCTCCACAGGTTCGTGAGGTTAGCGGCCGCCTCAATGGGAAGGGTGGTCCTCAGTCTCAGGGTGAGTGTCCCCTGGGCCCCACACCCACCTCCTGAACTGGAATCTGCGTGCTAACAAGGTCCCTGGCGAATGGTTGAGATTTGCTGTCCGAGGGCTTGTTATCTGGGATTGCACACCCGGTCCTCCTGTCTGGTTTCTTATCAGGGACCAGGTGGACCATTTCCTCGTAATCAGAGCAAAGGCAGAGTTCAGTTTCATGTTGGTTGGACTCGGCGGTGTCCAGTTAGGTTTTTCTTAATCAGAAAGTCAAGATATTTTGGCAAAGAACAAAAGAAAGGCAGGTGAAAGATGAGAGGGGTATATTTGTTTACATCATCGATGTATCAAATGACACCCCTATTCTCATCGTCACTATTCTTTTCTGACGTACATCTGGAGAGGGAGAAAGGTGGGTAAAGAGTGAGGGGTCTGGTTAGTTTCCTCATTCGCGGATTTCTCTTCCTCGGAGTCTCTCCCTCGGCTTGTGTCATGCACAATGACCTGAGAAGGGCTGAGCACTCGGTTTAAGGCTTTGTTGTCACAGTGTTGAAGTTCTTAATAATTCTGAACGAGAGGTTCTGCCCTTTCATTTTGCCCAGGGCCTTGCAAATTACCCAGCTGGCTGCTGCCCGCCCTGAGAGCGATGTTTATCTGCAGCTATAAGAGAGTCCGGGGGTTAGGTAGGCTCTGGGAGGAGCAAATGCTCTTTTTCACTCTCCTATCACCCCCATCTTTTTACAGCCTAAGAAATAAAAGGGAGATAACCCAGGCCGTGCGAGAGAGGGGCTTTGACCTCAATAATGGTGTTCTCAAGCCAGATGTCGAATAAGGCTGAGTGTGGTCACTAAGCAACCACGCACCACCCACCACGGGGCAAAGAGCAAGTCAGCGAGTATGAATAGCCCCGCCCCCCACCTCCACCAGGTTCATTGTCTGCACCGTGGGAAGAGTTGGACACATCCGGCCGCAGCAAGTAGTCCGCTGGGCCCGTTCACGTCGGAAGTTCCATGCGGGTGAAAGTTAAAAAGTTAACTTGCTTCTGTTTTGTCAAAAGTTTGAATATTGCTAGTTTTAGTACTGAGACCCCCAAATCAAATGCTTTGAGCCAACTCAAAACTCGGAGACCTAAGAAAATTATTTAATTTTAATGCCAATCTAGTTGGAACATTGTGTGATGCCTTAGTCTCAAAGTCTGGTCCGTGGACCAGAAGGATTGACATCACATGGGAACTGGCTGGACATGCAGCTCTTGGGCCCCACCTCAGGCAGCTGCGTAAGAATCTGGGTTTTCAAAGATCCTCCGGTGTTCTGTGTGCATATGACAGTGTGAGGGGCGTTGCGACCCCGTGTTCAGCATCTGGTGAACTTGGTTGAGGCGGCGGTGGCAGGAAAGCGAACCCATTCATAGGTGCGTCCACTCAGGGCCTGTGGCCTCCGGGAGAGCTATGGGAAAGCCATAAATGAAGAAATAATTAACGGATTTTGGGGAGGGAGGTTCAGGAGCGGGGAGACAGGCCCTGCTGTTACTCAGTATGAGCCTCGTCGGATGTTCGGCATTCCATTCGTTCCGTACTTATTCATTCACAAGTCTAAGTATTGTAAGCATGTGTTAGGCCCTTTGTAGGCACTGGGGATGCGGTCGGGGGCAAAAAACACCAAAGTCTCTTCCCTCGTGGCATTCAGACCAGAGTGGGGGGGGGGGAAGGGAGCCTGTCAGAGGGTGGGCCACCCAGTGGAGACAAATGAAGGGGCCCGGGGAGGGAGCACTTGTATGTGCAGAGTGACCAGGACTGGCCTCGCTGTGATAGCTGAATGATAACAGGAAGTTGCGGGGGGGGGGGGCAGCGGCGGGGGCGGGGAGCAGTGTGGAAATCTGGGGTAGGGAACCTTCCAGGTGCAAAGGTCCCAAGTGTGAGCGTGGGTGGGGCAGTGAGCAGATGGCATCGTCCTCCGGGGAGTCTGCTTCCGCTCCGGGCAACGCCGGTGCTAATCTCCGCCGTCTTTAGAAAGAGACACACAGACCACACAGTGTAAATACTGATTTTACAGGAAGAGAACAGAGGACACACTTTTTTTCGAATGCATATTTTTCTTCACAATTATTTGAGAGGGTAGAGTAGAATCAGTGGTATCATCCACACACAGTTTTGAATGCAAAAAACTCAAAATAAAAGCGAAAGAACACATGGATAATGATTCAGAGCGAGGCGCTTAGGACCTGGAGTTGCCTTCGTTCACGCACCCGCCCAGTCCACCCATCCTTTCATCCGCCCATCTGACTGTTGGGAAGTCTGAGGGCCTAGTGTTCTCTAGGCACGGCTGTGAGTAAGCCCGTTCTCCCTGGGAGGGTCACAGTCCAGGCAGAGAGGCTGGCTTAGGTTTGCAGGCAGCGATATGGAGGCACCTGGTGGAAGTGGGGGGAGGGGGGTGGGTGGAGGCTGGAACAGGCGACGTGAATACTGCGCAGGAGATGCCACCTGGCAGACGTAGCATTCTCATCGCACAATATTGTCACTCGGAGCTTCCTCGTCCCTCTAAAAATGCCTTTCAAGCTCTTCCCAGCCTTTGTCTTTATTCCGTGGCTACCAGAAAGTTTTTGACACCCAGTTGAGTTTGTAGGCACAAAGGCACACGGGATGATGCTAGAGCGCCACCCACAGGGGTCTCTCGTTGTAAATGAATAGGGGTCTCTGGTTAATGGGGTTTATATGGTTCCATTTCCTCAGCTCCCAGTCAGCCTTGACTGGGCCGATAAAACCAAGTTTCTGAACCTCGGAGTTTGAGCACCAGGCCTTTGTCAACAATGGTTTGCCAAGTGAGTAAGTGTGTAAGGCGCAGTGGCTTGTCTGGAAACATTCCGTCTGCTCTGCCCCAAAACACAGGCGTCGGAGTGGGGCGCCTGCAGTCACGGGGCACCTGAAATGGTGTGTCACAGGAAACGGGCTGTCAGAAGAAGGGGCTGACGCGACCTAAAGTTCTGTACAGGGCCCCAGGGGGCTCTCGTTTAAGGAAGGTAGGGCTCGGGGTCTCCCGTAGTGAGCGCCCAGGTGGTACTTCCTCTGAGTGAGTCAGCGAGCAAGTGAACGGCCGTTGAATGAAGGAGGAGTCCAGGTGGTGAATGAAGGAGGAGTCCAGGTGATCCGTTTTAAAGAGAAAGAAATGTCTTTGTATTTTTCTCAAAATCCCTTCCGGTTATTATGGTGTCTACTACCAGTTAAAATGTACTTTGCTGTATTTCTTAATCCAAATAAGGAATTTGATGCATGCTTCTGTAGGGCAATGAACATAAAAAACCATCTCCTGTCAGCTTCGTCCTGGGAAAGAGCGGAGGACCTGGAGGCAGAGAGAGGCAGGCTTTTGCTGACGGTGTCACTGTGACCAAGGTCATGAACTCTTCAGGAAATAATGCTGCGGAAGATAAAATCAATCATTGGGTTCTACATTCTTAAGATTCCATTTTTTTGACTTTTAGAAAGTATGTGTTTACCTCTTGCTCCCTCTGCTGGATGCTTGGATTTGGTCTGACGACGAATACTTGGATGCTGCCTAGCTGTAGGAGTTCCTTTTTTCTTGTATTTGTACTTAACCCCCCCAAGATTATACTGAATTGTAATTAGACTTTAGAGAAGCCCTCAACTCAATGGCTCTCATCCCGAAGACCCCCCCCCACCCGTCTCAGGGGGGTAGGGGTGGGGGTGGACCTGACGTCGTAGGTTAAGTACACAGTTCAGGCTTCCATTGTGTTTGGTGTTTGTGTCCTGTAGGACATCATTGGCGTTTTCAAATCGGCTAAATCAGGAACCACGATTTGTTGCATTTTTAATCTAGGGGCCGCGACCTTACATCATCAAGGACGTTTTAAGATATGTGTCAAACTATTACAACCAGAGGGTGGGCATCCATACCTTCTCCTGACTCGACCCTTCAGGTAAGCTTCTTTAGAATTTGCCTTCAAGGTCCTGCCAGGGTTTTTCTGCGACTCTTGTGTGACTGAGTTGCTGTCCTACCCTTCTTCTTTCTTTGTTATTTTCCTTCAAAGTCTTCCTATGGTAACGCTTGTGGTTTTTGTGCCCTGCGCAGCTGACATTTCTGAGAAATGGTCCCCCAGGAGTGCTTTTCTTAGGCCGCTGTGGTCAGTTTTGTTGCAGAAGTCAGATGCAGTACAAGTCTAGGTGTTAATTTGATGGCATCCAGAGTCTTCAATGTTTTGCTTCCCCGATCCTCCCACTTTCGAATCAGAGGTCCCGGCCCTCTGGCAAGCGGCCCCTGACAAGGCCTGTGTCTGGCCCGGTCCCTGCCCCTGTCACCTGGGCTCCAAGCGCAGTTGGCCATCACGGTCCCATAGGCACGGTTCGAGGGCGCTTCTCGGCAAACGTGTCTCTTTTGTGGAACATCAGAGACCGGGGTGATGGTGGGGTCATGATTTTAAAATCTCCTCTTGCCAGCAGGTGTGGCTCAATCGGTTGGAGCGTTGACCCATAAACTGAAAGGTCACGGGTCTGGTCCCCAGCCAGGGCACACACCTAGGCTGTGGGTGTGGTCCGTGTTCAGGGGTCAGGGCGCAGCCGAGAGGCGATGCTCCTCTCTCACAATGACGTTTCTCTTCCTCTCCGTCTCCTCCCTGCCCCTCTCTCCAAAATCAATAAGCATGTCCGGGGTGAAGACAAAAAGAAAACAAAGTACCCTCTTTCCCGAATCTCCCTTGTGTTTAAAAAACTCATTTAAATGTGTTTTTTTAAAAAAAAAAAAAAAACATGGAACAGAGTTACCTAATGGCAAGGAGATACTTCAAAATCCCAGCCTCGATGGGAGAAATAGACAGAAAACCTTACTTGAAAAATAATTAAATAAAATTAAAAAAAATAATAATAAAATCCCAGCCTCCACTTTTACTGGTCAGAGGACTTCAGAGAGGCCCTGGGCAAAACCCCGAGAGCAGAAGGCTTACTTCTGTATCCCCGCCACCAGTCACTGTCCCTCGGTCAGAAAGGGAAGCCCGCCTCCAGCTTCACCCCTTCAGGCTCCTGTCAGTGGTCGATGGGCTCATCGTGTTCAGGGAGAACCACACAAAATTACCGTTCCTATGGGTCAAATTAGTGGAATGTTGGCCCCCTCACATGGTTTGATCTATTTCAAACAAAGCCTTTGGTCAGTTCTTTCTAAAATGAGGAATTCTTTGTTCATTGGTAAGGGAATTTGTGTTCCATTAGTGGTTGTAGAAGATTGAACGTAGTTTTATTTTTGTTTTTAGTAGGTGGGCAGGCATAGGAAGAGAAGGGAAAACCTGGTGATTTCACTTAGGTGGTCATTCTTTGCTGCCACACACGTTATATAAACTACACGCTGAGGTTCTAAGGTGCTACCATGCCTTGGGCATGAAGTGCGAATGTCTGATACTCCTTTATTTCTTCACAAGGCTCTGTTGATTCTCCTCCAACCTGAGCCCCAATGAGAAAAAATTTTGAGTTCAAATTGCTCAAGTTGCCTATTTTGGGCAGCAGGGGGCGCAACCTGAGCCCCAATGAGAAAAAATACTGAGTTCAAGTTGCTCAAGTTGCCTATTTCGGGCAGCAGGGGGCGCACGTTCTCTTCGTATGTAATAAGGGCTCCTTCACTTGGGGTGGTGGGCACTCAGTGCAATATACAGATCATTTATCATAGAAATCGACACATGAAACCTACATACTCTTATTAACCACTGTCACCCCAGTACATTTAATAGAAAAAAGAAGCCCAAGTCTGTGGGTCTCTGTTACCATCCTTCCTACTCTGTGCGAGTTGGCCTTTTGCAAAGGAGGGCATTACTTCTTGATGAGCAACAGGTGGCCAACATCTTGAAAAGCATTTGGGAGACTACAATATTAAAAGTAAGAAGCAAAGTATATTCTTTATTTTATTTTTGTTTTTTGGATATAAGCATGAATTATCTGGGAAGAAGCAGATGCTTTTCAATCTTTTAAATGTTTTATATTACTTTTGACTTTAGAGAGAAGGGAGGGGAAAAGAGCCCAAGAAACGCCAGTGAACGAGAGTAATACCACTGTTTGCCTTCCGTACATGCCCCAGGGAACCGAACCTGCAACCCAGGCATGTGCCCCAACCAGCAATTGAACTGGTGACCTTTCAGTTCCCGGGAAGATGCCCAATTGACTGAACCAGGTCCGCTGGGGCACATGTTAATATTTTAAATTATTACCATTTCTAAACTATCCAAGCATTCGTGAAATTAGTCATGTTCATGTTTGGTAGTGGGCAAGGAGTCAAAGACCCTCTCCATTCCGGGGATGGCACAGTGGCTGGTCCCCTTTCACCGGCAGAGGTGTTGATACGGGCCTTCCTCCTCCTGCTGTGATTTCAACTCGTTTTCTCCCACTCCAGGCTGCGGAGGCAAACTTCTGACACGGCCTGATGGGAGCTACTTCAGGTTTTGTGGGCCGGAGCGGCCCTGTTACCACTACTCAGCTCTGCTGATGTTACCGGCTCCAGTAGGCAGCCAGAGGGAACTTGTACCCAGTGGGGTGGCTGTGTGTGTCCTAATGGAAATTTATTGGAGGTTGGCTTATCTTATAGACATCTCAAGATATTGAAAGGCCAGTTAATATCTTCCATGTAGCTGTTATTTTATATTCTTTACAAACTCACACTGTTTTCTCTTTTTGAAACTCTTTTCTAATTAACAGGAAAAATCGCCCGCTCTTTATGCCCGTCTGGTTCCACTCCTGCTTGGAGTAGATGCCTGGTGCCCCTCACAACAGCCCCGACGAGCCACTGCCCTCGGATCAGAAGGCTCGGGCTTCCTGTTTTCCCTGTAAGGGAGGCGGTGGCCCGAGGAGCAGGCGATGAGAGTCCACGAGAGTTTTTCAGTAGATAACACAGCAATTCAGAAACCAGTGTTGCCGGAATTGTGAACTTTTAATCTTTTCATGCATGATGTCATTTAATCCAGATTTTGAAAAGAAGGGGCCGCCGTATAAAGAAGCAGGCACTGACTGGCCTGAAATATCCCAGGAAAATCTGGTTTCAGATTTTTCTAGGAGTTGATCCAAGAACATTTTTCTTTGTGCCTTTTGATCTGTTGAAAGATACGCAAGATACTTGGAGGCCTTGAAGGCACAGATGCCAACATGCAAAGAAACGTAGACAAGCTGCCTCATCCAGGAAGCCAGCACTCAGAGGAGGGCAGGAACTTGAACTTTTTTGTCTGCCGCCTGACCTCACACCCACCTTGGTAGTTTTTCTGTGAACGGGTTCTGTTTCTTCTGGGTTTGAGCGGGATTGGTAGAAACTGAGGTAACGTCCTTGCTGCCTGCAGTTTTTAGCTCCTCCTCATCTTTCTTAACTTCCCCGTCCCTTCTCCACTTCTGAGAGCAAGGGGTTGCATGCCCCTTTGCCTCCCTTCAAAGAACATTTGGCTGGAGTGGAGGAGCGGCACTGAGGGTGCTCTTCTTTTTATAGAGACACTTTTATATAAACATACAATGGTCGGAGGTCGCTTGGAGGCCGCCGAACCAAGCTGGCAGGAAGTGGGTCCCCGAGAGGCCCCCAACCCCCCCCTGCTAGGGGGCCTGCGCATGCACAGAAGCACCTTCCAGAGAGCACCTGCATCCTTCAAGTGTAGCAGAGACCACTTAGAGAGTTTTGTTTTCTCTCCCTGACACTGCGGGAGGTGGGAACGGGGCGAAGCAGATTCCCTCTACCGGGAGGATCCCGGAAGAACACATTTGTGTGTCACGACCTTGACCTACCTGCCTTGGACCCCACTCTTCAGTGTTCCCCCACTTCGGGTGTCTGACTCAGCTACCTCGTGTCTGGATTCCTAGATGGGTCTCTGGTTTGCCCAGAGGCGCAGGCTTCCAGCTTCCGTCTGCCCGCTGCCTGCAGACTCTGCAGGGGCCCTTCTGGAGGCTGTGGTTTTCTGTGCCTGCTGTAGAAGTAGTTAGGGGGCCGGGCTTGTCCTTGGGGTCTTACTTCTTCCTTCTGCTTCCTGTGGTGGGGGAGGGGACTTTCTCTGGACATCTGCTTTTCAAAGGCAGCCTCGGCGTGGTCTGGTAGCGAACCCTGTCCCGCTCACTTTGACCTCTGGTCGGCCCAGGGACAGACGGTGTGACTGAGGGGGAAGAGAGAAGACGCGAGTGCTGTCACCTCCCTTCCTTGTGACCGTGGGCACAGCCACACTGGAGGCGGGGGCAGAGGAGGAAGCCAGGAGACGTCTGTTTCCTGTAGAGAGGCCTCCTCTTCCAGAACCTTCCGAGCACTTGACGTTGTAGAAGGAAGAAGAAGGGGCAGAGTGAGCAGTGGGATCCCCAGGCCCCTGCAATGAGTGGGGCTCCGCCCTCTGCACAGGCAGCAGTGATCGAAGATGCCGCCTCCTTCCCCGGAGCTCCCAGCCCCTAGGTGTGTAACCTCCTCCAACTCAGCACGGGAGCAGGTGTAGTTCCTAAACTTTGAGGTGATTATCCTAGTGTGTGGGTTAGATCTTTCTTCGCATAACTCAGATAGAAATGAATTTACATTTTCCACGGGCTCCCCAAACACTTGAACTAATGCGTTTTCTCGGAATGCTCCTTTTCGACCCGCCGGCTGATTGTTACTTTCAGAGGACGCTAATGACAACCCGGGCGTGCTGTCTGCAAAACCCCACATTAAGGCGGCTTGCAGCGCGAACCCGCCATTCAGGTAATGACCTCCGCCCTCCAGAAAAACAAGCCGGGCCTCGCCGGGGGAGGCCCTGAGATCGCCTGCTCTCTGAGAAGGGCGTGAGGCCGCTCTTAGGGGCTGACTTGGGGGAACTGGGCGAGAGGGCTATGAGGGCTTTTTGAAGTTTTCGTTGGGTGTGGGAGAAAATTTCGGGAAGGTGGAGGCACTTTACTGCCAAGAAAGACATGCTTTCTTTTTGTCTCTTAGCCCAAATCAATTTCCTTGTCGTAACACCAGCCAAGGTACTAATTATTATGATTACCTGCCATGATTATGGGTGACAGGAACTGCAGTTGGGCAAAAGGACTGTTTTGTATACTTAATTTCCTTCTCTGAAGTTCTGACTTCATGAACTTCCTTGTTTTGCCTTCCTAATAGTGACTGGCTCCATAATAGACACCTGTTAGGGGCTTAAATACTCCCTGGCCGCTCCTTAATTCCAATTCACACGTGAACTTCTTGAAAAGAAAGAAGAATGTCAGTAACAGTAATGAAAGCAGCTGGTCTGAGCTGGTTTAGCTTAGTGTGGAATAGGATATAATTTCACAGAATTATTGTTCTTTTTCTTAAAACTTCAGCCATTGTTCAGCTCACTGAATAAAGAAATGGGCGTTGACGAGAATTTAGAAAGAATCGGAAGTGAGCGCTTGTATCCGAACAGTGGCGGGCTTTGCAGTGTTGTGTTACCCAGCACGACAGATAACGCTGGGTGGGCATCTTTCCTCCTCCCCAGTGAGCCTGGCAGCGGGGACCTTTCCATGGCTCGTACTTGTGCATTGAGGCCAGGGACCATTTGGGACAGGGTGGTCAATCTCCTTAGCTTCCAGACTTCATTCTGTTTTCTGTTCTTGACCAAGAACCAAGAAACACCTTCTTTTAAGGTTTCACTCACTCCATGTTCCTGCAAGCTTCCCTGCTTTGAGCAAGATGATGTTAAGGGGATTCTAATGATGCTGCCTTCCTGTGTATTGTTCATCCAGTTCAATCTACATTAAAATCTACGGAGACCAGCTTTTAGATAAGACTCTTAACGTAGGGGGGATACGTATCACACACGAGCCGGTGGATCGAACTCATCTATGATCTTGCCGCTCAGTGTGGCCTATGGAACAGCAGTTTCAGCATCCGCTGGGCTCATGTTAGAAATGCTGAGTCCTGAGACTCCAAGCCACACCTACTAGAAAGCCAGAACGTGCATTTTTAAGAAGCTCTTCACATTAAGTATTAAGAAGTGCTGATATGTGTATAAAATGGGATTAAATGTTGACCTCAGTCTACTGCTTCCTCGAGTGTTGGAAATAGTGAACAGAAAGCCGCACAATCTGTTTTTGTGATGAGACTCCAGATAATACGTTTCTGACTGATGACCCTCGAACACTTTGTGTAACTATGGCCCATCCATCATTACCATCCTTTGTTCTTTTCTTCCTTTCTTGTTCTCTAAAGCTATGGGGAGAGAGAATTTTGATAGGAACTAGGCATGAGTACAAGGTCTAACCGGACAGATGAAGGGGTGAGGTCCTTGGGTTGTGGAACTTGCCAGCTCTCCTCTGGTGGTAGCTGACAGAGTGTCAGGCTATGGCAGGAATGGCTGTTCAAGAGACTACTTCTGTGCCTGGAGCATTGAATCGAATGCTCGAGTTTGGATAACAAGAAGGTGCCTTTGGGTTTGGGTGATGGGTCTTTTATAAATTAAAAAGCCCGTGTCTCCCAGGACCTGAGCGTGCATCTCTGACCCCTGTGTGCATTCTGGTCTCATGCATATTCAGATTTCTCATCCCTAGACTCTCACCTTAAGAGAAAACCCATTAGCGAGAGCTCATCAAGACCTGTTACCTGGAACAGGACAGAGAGCCCAGAAATAGACCCACGCCTTTCTGGTCAATTAATATTTGACAAAGGAGGCAAGGGTTTACAAGTGGACAGTCTTCAATAAATGGTGTTGGGAAGACGGGGCTGGTTCATGCGCAAAAATGAAACTAAACCGCCAAATTACACCACACACTAGAATAAACTCAAAATGAATAAGGACTTAAATGTAAGTCACAAAACCATAAAAATCCTAGAAGGAAACATAGGTAGTAAAATCTCAGGAACCTTCTGGAACAATATTTTTGCTGATATATCTCCCAGGGCAAGGGAAACAAAGGAAAAAATAAACAAATGGGACTTCGTCAAATTAAAAAGCTTCTGCACAGAAAAGAAACATCATCAAAATGAAAAGGGAGCCCAGTCTATGGGAGGACATATTTGCTAATGATACATCTAATAAGGGCTTATTTTCCAAAATACATAAAGAACTTACAGAATTCAACACCAGGAATACAAACAATCCAATTAAAAATGGGCAAAGGACCTGAATAGACTCTTTTCCAAAGAGGACATATGGATGGCCCATAGACATGTAAAAAATGCTCAATGTCACTAATCATCAGAGAGATGCAAATTAAAACCACAGTGAGATAACACCTCACACCTGTCAGGATGGCTGTCATTGATAAATCAACAAACGACAGGTGCTGGTGAGGATGTGGAGGAAAGAGAACCCTTGTGCACTGTTGATGGGAATGCGGGCTGGGCGGCCACTGTGGAAGACAGCATGGAGTTTCCTCAAAAAATTAAAAACTGGAACTTTTGGCCCAGCAATTCAACTTCTGGGAATATAGCCTAAGAATCCCAAAACACCAATTCAAAAGACGACGTGCAACCCCGTGTTCACAGCAGCGTTATTTACGGTAGCCAAGATCTGGAAACAGCCTACAATACATCAGTAGAGGAGCGGGCAAAAATCTGAGGTGCATTTACACAGTGGAATACTACGCAGCAGAAAGAAAGAAGGAGCTCCTACCCTTTGCGACAGCATGGTTGGACCTGGAGACTATTATGCTAATTGAAATAAGCCAGTCAGTGAAAGACAAAGGCCATATGATCTCATTTATATGTGGAATCTAATGAGCAAAACTTAGGAACAAAATAGAAAGAGGGGCATGGACACATAGAACAGACTGACAGCTGTCGGAGGGAAGGGGGAACTGTGTGAAAGAAAGGGAAGGGATGAGCCAAAGAACATACATATGTGACTTGTGGACCTGGGTAAACGGTGAGGGGATTGCCTGGGGTGGGGGGCTGGGTGGAGGTGGGCAGAAGGAGATAAAATGGGCACAACTCTAACAGCATAAACAACTAAAAAGACATTCTGCCTATGCCTAGGTTCTATGTAGCTCCTTAGCAAGCATTTTTGACTCTGTGTGACACAGTAGAAAGAGCAGGTACCTCGGGTACAAATTCTTTAAGAGATATATGATCAGAGGTCAGTTAATTTGCTCTCTTTGAGCCCCAGTTTCCTCGACTGTAAAATGAAGATGGTAGTACCTTGCGCCAATGTTAAATGCTAACATTTGTATTGTGACAAATAGGTGAGGTTTGAAATGCAAGTATTAGTAAAAAAACAGTTGCTGTGAACATTTCCTCTCATGCATGTGTGTATGTTGCATGCATGGATGCTACGTGGTATGTGCATACTTTAAAAATTAGCATGCATCGCCCTGGCTGGTGTAGCTCAGTGGATTGAGCGCGGGCCTGTGAACCAGACAATCGTGGTTCGATTCCCAGTCAGGGCACATGCTTGGGTTTCAGGCCGGTTCCCTGCAGGCCAGTTCCCAGCAGGGGACGCATGAAGGCCAACCATACATGGATGTTTCTCTTCCTCTCTCCTTCCCTTCCCCTCTAAAGATAAATAAATAAAATCTTAAAAAAAAATTAGCGTGCATCGACTTGTAGTTTTTGTTGGGTGACTTGTAATTTTAGGAGAAGGCTGCTAACTTGAATTTCAAAGAGCAGTTTTGGGGAGCAGGACAGTCCCGGTGTCAGTGTGACTAACACACACACACACACACACACACACACACACACACATTCACACACTGAGTGTGGCTGGGTCGTCCGATTGGAAGCACACCAGAGACACCGTCCGCTTCCCCTTGTGTGACTAATTGCAAATATATTTCTGAAACTCTCTAATCCTCTTTAGAAAGATGGCGACATGTAGGTGTTGTAATAGAATAAACGAAGTGGAGGATGAGTCACGCAGGTGGGAATGGCTTCTGACGTGTAGTGTGTCAGAGACGCCGACATTGTCACGGTGCACGAATGACCAGCAGCACACCACTTAGGGGGTAGACAGCTATCTAAACACCAAAAACTTTAAAGTGTTTGTGGACTGAAGACCACGTATGAGCATAGATAGCATTTCAAGTGCACCACTGTTGCCTTGGCTGGTGTGGCTCAGTGGATTGAGCATGGGCCTGTGAAACAAAGGGTGACTGGTTCGATTCCCAGTCAGGGCACATGCCTGGGTTGCAGGCCAGGTCCCCAGTGGGGAGCATGTGAGAGGCAACCACACACTGATGTTTCTCTTCCACTCTTTCTCCTTCCCTTCCCCTCTCTCTAAAAATAAATAAATTTTAAAGTGCACCACTGTGAGGAAGCGCACCTGGAGTGAAGGAACAATATTCGAGTCTTAATGACTCACAAACAGAGACGTTGCAACTGAGAGCTAGGAGCCGATTGTGATCATCTCAGTCTGTGGAGGCCTCGCAGTTCCTGGTGAAGGGAGAGCCTTGCTTATCTCCTTCATTCAGACAGATCGCCTTTCAGTGAAACTCTTGATCTGTGTGATACTGCAGTCATAAATATTTATAGAGAAGTCATTAACGTCTCTGGAATGAGGAACTTACAGACAAGAGTCAAGAGGAATCGAAACTCCAAGACAGGAAGGAGAAGAATTTACCTGGGCGTCCCAGCCTGCTCTGGGGAGGAGCGGGGGTGTCTCTGTTCTCCGGGCTGGAGTTGCACCACTCACCCGCCCTCCCCAACTAAAACCCTGGTTGGAGGTTTAGCGGGGTGCTCACGGACTAGCCTTCCATCAGCCATTGTCCCCGGGCAAGTAATGGACTCTCATATTTTAAATACTTTGTTTTGCTCACCCATTGCCACATGAAAAATGACCCCCAAACGTACCGGCTGAAACAAAAAACACATTTTATTTGTTCATAGTCGTGTAGGTCAGATTTTTGGATTGAGATCCCTGAGGCTGGCTTATCTCTGCCCCGTGGTGTCTGGGCCCTCAGCGGGGTTGGCTGGACTGGCTGTGCCCCGGCCAGAGCGGCTTGACCGGCGTCAAGTCTGGGGCTTCAGTGCGGCTGTTGGCTGCGTTCCCCGGTATTTCTTCACGTGGCCTCTCTATGAGGCCGGCTTAGACCTTCAGACGTCATGCTAGTCTCCAGTAAATGGACTCACATCACAGCTAGCTTCCCAGAGGGTGCATTCCAGAAGGACGAGCCTCAGTGTGTTCGTGTTCATTAAACCTCTGCTCATGTCATTCTTGTTGATGTTCCATTGGCCAGATCAAGCCACACGGCCAAGCCCAGAGCACATGTGGGAGAGAATCGAGAGGCGAGTCCTGATGGTATGGCTTTGTCGGGCCCACCGATAATCGCCACCTACTCAGAAGATGCTGCTATTTAGTATCCGTTTTTTATTGTGAGAGACTGAATTGGTATAATGTGACTATGCTACCCTATTGCTAATGTCCATAAAGGTATTTTGGGAACTATGCTATTTTTATCACAAAGTAATGGCATTATGCTGTATTATTTGAAACAATCTAAACTGTTAAAAATCTCCATCTATATATAGTCTATATAAAGTAATTTATTTAAGACCACCTGTAAAGAAAGGAAAACTGTTCAACCTGTAGTACCTATGTCTCTCTCTTAGTGAAAGCAGATGTTGGGGTCTGAAAGCCCCGTTTCCAACACCTGTTCCCATGTTGAAATTCGAACCCCCAATAGCGATGGTTTTAGGAGGTGAGGCCTGGGGTTGGTGCTTAGGCATGAACGGGATTTATGCTTGTACAGCAGAGCCGCCCCAGCCCAAGTGCCCCCCTCCGCCCCCCACAGAGTTCCCTAACCCTTTCCATCACGTAGGGGCCAGGAAGCAGGCCTCCCTGGAATGCAGCGTGCTGGCGCCTTGATCTTGGACTTCCCAGCCTCCAGAACTGTGAGCGATAAGTTTCTGATGTTTGTAAGCCACCCAGCCTGTGGGATTCTGTGAAGGCAGCCCGCAGGGACCAGACAAGGTAGGTGGACCTTGATAGACGGACCACCCACCCAGATTGTCTGGGATGGAGGGGCAAACTGGGGTACAGTGAAAATTAATAAGACTTTAAGGATATTTAGCTTCTTAAATGAAAAATCATTCATATGTTACAATTTACTATTACCAAATCATATATAAACTATGATGGTAAATAGAAGGTTAGTGGTTATTTTCTAGGTCTAGTATTACAACTTAGCTTTCGGCTTCTTACATTCTTTTTGGATGTTCTTTGAAAGATTTTTCTAGCAATGCTCACACTTCACTGTGAGAAAACACGTGATTTTCATGCATAATTTCTAGATTTCAAGACAGAGATATACTGTTATCTCAAATAGCAGAGTGAATTGCTGCTGGAATAGAGAAAATTTTATTTTTAGATACGTTTTGAGACTGTAGTATCTTATGGACATGAAGTTCTCATAGTAAAATGAAACAGAAAAAGGGCTAATGAACTTTGATGTGAATCCATCCTTCCCCCCACCCCCAAAGAAAACATCAAAAGTCTCCACGCAGAAAGCTCATTGAAAATGTTGGTGTATTGGTTATTTTTGAGATTCTTAGAAGTAACCAAACAGTAAAGTTATAATTTTACCCCAGAGAATTAGTGTATTTCAGTGAACTCAATAACACATTTTGCAGTGATGTGAATATCCTGGGTTATCCTTTTGCCCGATTTCAGATTCTTTGGGCATTAAGAGTCAGAAACATCAATTATTGCCTTAAAGGGAAGACTAATCCAGTTTCTGCAGATGCTCAGTTCAGAAAATATCCAAAGCACTCCTTTCTGAAAGAGTATCGAAGCTCAGAGACAAAAATGTATGGGTCACTGTCAAGGTGGTAGACGGCAGTGGGGCTGCGCTGGCCCGTGTTCAGTTTAACTGCTGTTAGCAGAGCCCGGGGAGCTGGTCCAGACGCAGCCATGCAGGCTGGCGAGTGTGCGGGTGAACGCCGTCATTGCTCTGGGCCTCGGACTGTGAAACGGGGGAGTCTGACAGGCCTGCGCCCGTGGTCCCTGAACAGGCTGCTGTCCTGCGATTTTGCGTACAGCGTGCTGATGGTGATGGTGGACATGCGGGTCTCCGGCTTCCTTTTCAACAGCGTTGCCCCTCTGTACCAGCCTGGGGATGAGGACTCTCGCGGGAACAGTTTGAGGAAATGGCATGCTCTTCGGAGGCCAGAGGTACGCAGTCCCTGGGCTCCAACCCCTACTGCGCCTCCGTGTGCGACTCTGCGTCCCGATGTCTGTCAGGCAGGCGTCCGTCAAGCCACTTCCCCTTTTCCGGTCTTAGCATCTATCTGTAGCAAAAATTTTGTTTTCCCCGAGTTCCCTTTTCTAGCTTTAACTCTTTTAGGCCCCTAAGCTTTTAAATTAATGAATGAATGAATGAACAATTGTTACATGAGATAAAACAATCTTTGGTCCTCTCACCTTCTTTAATGAGGCCTCCTGACTCACCCTTTCTCTGTCCCCCAACCCCCCGCCTTCCTGCTGGCAGAAGTCTCAAGAAGCTCATGAGCCACAACTTGTCCCTAAGTTGCCTGGCTGCCAGGAGACACTTCTACCAGGTGTTTGGCTGCTGTGGGCATGTTTGAAGCCTTAAGGTAACCCCTGGATCTTTTTATGGACAATGCTCTGTGTCCCTTGTTAGGAGGAGACCATGAGGTCTTATCTTGCCTTATGATAGAAAAAAGACAGGAAACAGTTGGTATGGAAGTTTATTGGCTACAAAACAGATACATAATGATGGGAATCTAAAGACTGCAGTAGGAAAGTAAAGCTTTAAGCTCATGAACTCATATTCTGGTTCAAAAAGAGCAGCAGTGCATTGAGATCACTGTGGAATGTCTGGTGAGAGTGTCCCAGAGAAACAAGCTGCTGAGTTTGAAAACGCCAAGGGCACCTCTCGGGACTCACCACTTGTGTCTGGGCACGGACTGTCCATGGCGGAAAAAGAGTTTGTACAACAGGCAGAAACCTTTATTGGCCTCACGCACACTTCTGGATCTCATTCACTTGAGAATAAACGATTCTTCCATCGACGCTCTCTTGTGTGATGGCCTTGATCTTTGGAACTGCAGATGCTGCGGAGAAGAACAATGAAGCGGTCACATCCAGGCTCCCCCACCACCGGAATGCACCCCGTGTCTCCCACAGGGCCCCCGGGCAGTGCGGCCGTCTCTGCTGGAGCGAAAGGGACCTCATTCTTCCCAACCCCCAGGAAATGAGGGCGCCTTGCCAGTGCCGTGCTTTGGAGGTCAAGGCCTTCATCCCAGGCATGCCTGATACAGGGTCTAGTCACCAACCACAAGCACTCGGGGCTCCTTTCTGTTCATCGCCCCTTGTAGCACTTGCACGACAGATTCTGTGAGCGTAGGGAGTGCTACACGCCGTTCTGGGCACCTCATTTTACAATCTAGCCAGCATGCCCTGTAGGGATGGCAAGGCAGCAGCCGTGTTTATTATGGTCACAGTGTTCAAAGACATGACTTAGTGGAATGAGTGCTTTGTTGGCACATCAACAGACTGATTTTCTAAACCAGAGGGAAGAATTGAAGCCATTAACAGAGATGCAGGGAGAACTTTGATACAATTAAACTCTTCAACAGCAGATTGGGCCACCTCACCAATAGAGGGCCCCCCACCCCTGGGCATGGCTAAGGAGAGGCTGAAGGACCACCTGCGGCGTCTTGCAGAGGGGTAGCCGAGCCGTCAGACCAGCTGTTCTGTGACAGTTACTTGAACTCTGATTCTCGGAATCGCTGATGCCTTAGGACACTGTTACTGAAACTAATCAGAAAGCACCACTTGTTCTGGGCTGGGTTCTTGGAATTTTTTTTCTGTGAGGTGTTAAAGGCATTCTGAGACAGTCGAGTTCCCAGGTCAGAGATGTTTGGGGACGCTGGGGCTAAACAAAGTAGAAGTACTGTTGTTTCTTTCTCTCTCTGGCTCCTTTTCCTCACTGAAAAGTGCCTTGTCAGCCCTGTTTCAGCTTGAACATCCCGAATCACAACGTGGTTCTTCCCATAGAGGGTGAGCCCTGTCTGGTCATGGAGCGCGCCTTTCATAACACACAGGCAAAACCTCATGGGACACTAATGTTCAACAGGATGTAGTCGGGACATTATGTGAGACTATTTCCTTGTATTTTCTGAGGAGCTTAGTAAACAGATCCCATTATTTGACAAAGATATAATAATATTAATGATTATTTTTATCTACCATTTGCGAAGAGCTTTCAGATATATATTGCCAAGGACAATATTCAGAGCTCACTTAGTTTTGTTTTATCTGATTTGTTAATTTAATTAAAAATTCCTTGCCATTCGGGAGTAAAAGAAAAACTGAACACAGGACATTTGGGAGAACGCTAAAGATTATGAATGCCACAGAGTGGACAGACATGCTGATTTACTTTTAAAAAGTAGATTGAAACAATAAAAAAAATTTTTACCTTTCGCACTCAGCTTAGAGTCCTCCGTTGTCCTATAAAAGTGATAAAGATTAACGCTCATTTTAGTGTTAGCAAAAATCACAGCAACTTCTTATGCTGAACGAGCTTCCTTTGCCTGCTCCTCAGTCTGTAGCTCTTTCATGAGGATGATTGTCTGAATTGGTCTTAAGGTCATGAGCACAGGACAGAACCCTCCTGGGCCCAGAAGACAGTGAGTACCGCCTGCCACTGACCGCGGGGTCAGAGAAGCCTCGAGAGCCACTGCCGTCCTTCCAGCCACCCACAGGCTTTGTCTTTCTCCATCGGGGTCCTCTCCAGGGTCTGGGTCTGAACCCGGGGCTTCTTGATGACTTTATGTATTTAAAAAGCTTACAACCCTTTCTCTTAGTCATAGGATGAATGTGCCCCTTTTGTGGACAGCTATTGTTATTTCCCGAGGTAGTCAGAAATAACGTTGAAAATCTAGATACCTCAATGTCTTACGAATCTCTTCTTGCTGTCGGGCTAAAATATCCCCCCAACCTTCTTCTTCTTTCCTTTGTTTTTGAGCCCAAATTGTGTGCATTCCCACGGGGAGACACTAGAACTAGACCTTCTTGGTTGTTTTTTTTTTTCTTAGAGATTTTAATACATCAATGTCAACAGTTGACCTCAACTCTCAGTGTCCTGGGAGTAACCCCTGATTAATTCATACTTGCTGCTTAACAAAACACAACCCGATCTAAGTATCTTCGGGAGAAATTCAAGGTAACCCTTTTTGCTCTAGAGCGATGACCTCTGGCAGGACCATCAGGTAGGTGTGCGCGTGCGCGGGAGCCGGATGCCCTTTGCGTCCTCCCCCGCCAGCCTCGCCTGCCTTACCCTTGGCTCTCCCCCTCGAGGAGCTGGCGGTAGGTGGCGATTTCCTTCTCCAGGTGGGTTTTGATGCCCAGAAGGACCTTGCGTTCGCTGTTCTGCTGCTCCAGGTCATAGTGCAGCTGCATCAGTTCCTCCTCGTAGTGGGAGATGATCTGTTGCATGTCCCGGAGCTGGCAGGAGTACCGAGACTGGGTCTCCGATAACACGTTTTCTAGAGCCGATTTCTGAAAGAGGAAATGATGTTTCTGGCATTTAGTGACTGATGGCTTCCTCGATCCAATAATGTGTGCTTGCTGGGTAGTTAGAATACCCGGCTCCTCTGCTGGGTGTCTTGGTGGCCGCTGGGGATGCAAAGATGACAAGTAGCCTGGCTCAGGTTCAGGCCTTGGGTCACCAGGAGTTGGGCAGAGTCTGGACCTTCGAAGCCCATTTTTTGGCGTGACGCCTCTGTGTCCGGGTCTCCCGGCAACTCCACTGCACCCCCGTAGCTTTTATGGCTTATGCTGCTCACTCTGGACCAGGCGTGTGCTGCCTGCCCTGATCTGCTCCTTACCTCCTTACGCTCCCATCTGTCTCTGGCCAGGTCGAAAACTCCTGGCGGGAAACAGCCAGTGCACTGCTGTCCCTTTGCATCTTCAGAGAGTGGTCTCAAGTAGGGATGCCGGATCAAACAGGGGCACCTATTAAATTTGCATTTCGGATGCACGACGAGTCGTTTTTTGGTACAAGTGTGTCCTAAATATTGCCTCAATATCTCACGGGACATACTTATACTAAAAACACTTTGTTATTTATCTGAAATTCAAATTTTACTGGGTGTCCTGGGTTTTAATTCAGTAAATCTGGCAACCCTAGTTGCAAACAGTGCTTTTTCATGATGACAATGGTGACACATGGTCATTATTGAGGGAATTGTTAAGGCTTCGAAATGAAGGTGCCGGGCCAGCATACAGAGAACTGAGTTGAAGGCCCGGTTGTGTTTGGGCTTAACGCCCACTTCTCAGGGGCACCCAACTTTAAGCTTAAAGAGGAACTCTAATAGTCCTGGGCACCCTTGCTTTTCATAGCTGCTGACACTCAGGGGCCCTCCACGCTCCTGGCCATGAAACCAAATGTCCCTGGTTCGGACACTGTCCTGTTCTCCCAGAGGAGAATTCTTCTCTGTCCTCAGACCTCCCCCTTCTCAGTCCTTTCTTTCAGCCCACACCTTTGCTCCTTCTGTCACCGAGGGAATGAAAGCCATGAGGAGACAAGGCCCATGGACTCCCACCATCACTCCCAACCACATTCTCGGACCTGTGTGTCTGGGCGCTCAGCTCCCTCCTGTTGTTACGTATAAGCCGTCTGTGCTCCAGTCATTCGGGCATTTGCCTGCCTTTCCGCATCATCCATGTTTTCCTCTCGGCTAAGTCATTCCCACCAGTTTCCAAATAGAATAATGTCTCCCACCTTAATAGTTTTCTCACTTGGATTCATATCTACCTTTAGCTATCACCCAATTTCTCTGCTCTCCTTCACCTACAATAAAGCCCCTTAAAGAGTTGTCTGTACCTGTGACTTCAAATTCCTCTAGACCTCCCTCCAAGGCTCAAGAGTACATAGCCTAGCTCCATTGTTACCCCGTGGCCTCCTCTCCTCTCTTCCCTTTCCCCCCTCCCCTCCCCTCCCTCCCCTCCCCCCTCCCTCCCCCCCCTCCCCCTCCCCTCCCCTCCCCCCCTCCCCCCCCCCCCCCCCCCCTCCCCTCCCCTCCCCTCCCCTCCCCTCCCCTCCCCTCCCCTCCCCTCCTTCCCTTTGTTCACACATTATTCTGCCATGTTGGCCGCCTTCCTGTTCCTGCAGCCCATCAGACACACTGGTGCCTTGTAGCTTTTGCTTCAGCTGTTCCCTCCACCTGGGGCCCCAGGCCCCCAACACATAATACCCCTCCTTACCACCTTTAGGCTTTGGCTCAGCTGTCGCCTTAACAGTGAAGCCCTTCCTGAGCGCCTGGTTTACAGTGGCAGCTCTTCACCCTTGCACCGCTCACCTCTCTCCCAGGCTTTACTTATTGGCAGCACTCTCTCCAGCTTACAAATTACATATTTTGTGCATTCATGGTCTCCTATCCTGCTAGAGCATAAAAATCTTTTATTATTGAATTCTCACTGCACAGAATAGTGTCATATAGTAGAATGCATGAAAATGGTATCAATACCTCGCTGACTTGCATGGTGGTTGTGAAATACTGTATATTAAGATGTTTTAAAAGCTGTAAAATACTCTCTGTGTGCACTGCTATTACCTTGACAGTGCAGAATTTAAATGGTCATCATCACTGATCCCTAAAACATAACTGATATACCATGTGCACCTGCAACAGAATGAACTAATAGTTTCCCTCCAAGACTAAGGGCAGAGGTGCACTCAGGAATGATACTGATGAATGATTAGAAGATTCAGGTAGATTTTCCTCAGTGAGTTTTGAGTGCTTACGACATGGATGCACAGCATTTTACTAAAAGCCGTGGAGATCGTAGAAGAGACTGAGACACAAGAACTCACAGTTTGCTGGGTAGTAAGACCAGAGCGTAGTGGCCAGAGCAGTGCTTCGGCGTCAACTGGCCCCAGAATTTCCTTTTATTAGGTTTTTGAGAGGGGCAGTCCGATTATAAGTGGAGAGAGTCCTGATAGAGATTATGCGACTCTAAAGCTGTCTTGCCCTCAAAAGATCACGTGGGTTCACCGCTGACTTAGCGGTGTGACCTTGGCCAGTTCACTTAATAGTTGGAGCTTGGTTTCCTCACCTCTAAAGTGGGGACACTAAGACCAACCAGGAAAGGTCAGTGTGAGGACTGAGGATGCTTAATGTAATGAACTCCCAAGCACAGCACCTGACACAATGTGGACATTCAACCAATGACAGTTCTTATTCCTATTCTTATCATGAATATTTTGGACAGTAAGTGGGAAGTGAAAGATGTCTCAAGGGAGCTGGGGAGTTGGGCCCAAGGGAAAGGACAAGGAAGGCTTTGCGGGGGAGGTGGTGCCCGACTCAGGGTTTTCAGCTCAGACTCACCCTGTTACGCTGGGCCTGCAGGTCGATCTCCAGGGCCTGGAAAGTGCGCTTCAGCTCGTGGATGTTACTCTGGGTGCTCTGCACAGCAGTTGGACTGGCAGTCTCCTGGGCCAGGGCTGCTGACTGTGAGACCAAGCACAGAGCAGAGGCATTGGCTTTGGGCCACACGGAGATGGAGCCTTCGGGGAGTTTGGGCACCTTCCTTTTACCTGCTCTTTATACCAAGCATCCAATTCTCGATGCTTCTTCTTTATCATAAACTCATACTCCTGCCTCATATCTTCCAGGATCTTAACCAGATCTTCCCCTGGGGTTTTATCCATCTTCACATTGACCTTGAAGTCACTTGGCACATGCTGTTCCTCCACGTTCTGTTTAATAACAGAGAAAGAAAGTGAATTGGCTGTGACAACCAGAAGGAAGTGTGTTGACTGGCAGCAGTTAATGGATGTTTTAAAAATTCAGCTCATGGGGTCGCTACTGTTTCCCTGGTTTGGTTTGGCTCCTTAGTTATTCGTTATTGATGACAAAACATAGGAATTTTTTCCTCTTATACTTTTACTATAAAATAAAGAATAGGGCCAGACAGGTGGTTGAATGGCCTTTATGATTGCTGACTTCATCCTTGGCTGGACATGTTTTAGCAAGAATTATGCCTGCACAGTGCGGAAAGTACTCTTTAGGGAATATTATCGAGGGGAGTGACGGCACAGTGACGAATGTTGACCTTTCGGGACATAGCCCAAAGCTCCGGGGATCCAAAGCCAAAAGGTGTCAAGGCTTTTAAAATCTCATCAGTGCATTAGGATTCTGTGGGGCTGACCCCCCCTGGGTATCAGGAAAACCAAGAAACCACAGGAAAGGTTTAACTGGCACAGTCAAACCAGCTTGATATTCATAATCGATCCTGTTTGCTTAAAATAGGGATTGTTTCCAAAGTCTTAGGGCTTTGGATGCATGGTAACTTCTCAAAAGTTGGTTAAATGTTTCTGGAAATTAGGATTCTTAATTTTGCCACTAGTCTTGCATAGCGTGGTTAGTAGCAGATGCTTTTTATTCTCAGTTTGCTGCACACTGGGCCCACGAAGGCAGTCAGCCGCTCACGCTTATTCCCACAGTGTCGTATTAACACACAAATGTAGGTAAACATTGCATGCTAAAATTGTCGACCCAGCTATTGTTAATTGTGATTATATTCTGGCGGTTGTATTAGATATCTGAGTAGATTAGCCTGGAATTGGAAAAATTAGATGTTTATACGGTTTCTTGTGATTATTGAGGTTGAAGGACCACAGAACCGGCATAGAGATGGTAGTTGTTTCTGCAGCCGTTGAATCACCTAAAACGTGCACATGGGGAGCTGTGTTGGGGATTCCGGGGGCGTCCCACCTGCTCATGGCGCTTCTTCATGAGGATGAGCTCTTTTCTCATCCCCTCGACTTCCTGCTCCAGGTCTGTAGTGACGATGGTCAGATCATCCAAGATCTTCCGGAGAGCCTCAACTTCAGTTTCCAAGTCTTTCTTGAAGGAGTGCTCATTTTCATACCTTTGGTTGGAAGGAAGGAAAGAGGGTACTTCCTGTTGGAAGGCTGCAGTCTTTGTAAGGATTCACCTTTGCTTAGAGGGGACTTGGTAGGTTTAATGGCAACAAAGTAATGCGTACTGTCTATCCTTTGTATGTCTCGTTCATGCATATTTTTCTGGGATGGTGTCAGTGCTATTTAAAAAAAATAAAATAAACAGCCGTGTGCCCTTCACCTAAATTTAGCAACCATTAACATTTTGCCATATTTGCTTCATCTACATTCCATTCTGTACTTTAAAGTAAATTGTGGACATGACATTTGACCTCTAAATGCTTCAGAAAGCATCTGTTAAGAAAAGACATTTTTTGTAACAGATGTATAATTAATGAAATAAGCATAATAATATTACTGTACCTAAAACATTAAAAACAGCTTTTTAATATCATCTAATTCTTGGTCCATATTCAAATTTTCTTACAGCAGAAAGTGTGTTTCACTCTCTGATTTGTTTAAACTAGGGTCCAATCAAATATTTATTCTTGTTATGCCTTTTCGGTATATTTTGTATGATTTTTACATGTGGTTAATGGTAAGATAAGTTTTCCTTCTGCAAGACAAGAACAAAAATAAGAACGACCCAGAAAACAAAACGAAATAAAAACAAAATATGCCCTGTCCGCCCCGTCCTCCCCGTCCCGCGCCCCATGACACCGTGAAGACGGAACTCACTTGAGGCCGAAGTCGTCCACCGCCATCCTGGCGTTGTCGATGAGCAGGACGATCCTCGCGTTGCTCAGCTTGCCGTCCACTATCTGTAAGACATGCGCCCAGAGCCCCTGCAGCGGACGCCCTGCACAGAAAGCTGCATTTCCGCCCGCTCGTCTCCTGGGTGTCTGATTTGTTAGCACAGATGGCTCGTTTTTCTGGCAGTGGGGCAATAAATACGTACTGAATGCTTACTAGGTACAATGCACGCAAATGACTTTATAGTAAGGACACAGTCTGCGCTGTCATTTTTGCATGGAGTTTTGACGGGCTGGGACCAGTGCAAGGGCTGAAGGGGTGGTTAACGGGGAGGGGAAGTTGCGTGGTTGAGAACGCCTTCCGGCTGTCGGCCCTGTGACTCCGTCTTCCCGCTGTGCTTAAGCTCGTCCGCATGGCAGATGGCAAAAGTGGTTTGGGTTCTGATCCTTTTCTTATTGTGACTATTAGTTGGGCTCCTCTACAGTAAAATAATTATTTCAGGTGAGCACAATTCTTCATTGTGATTGGCACCGAGCAAAGTATTGCTTGCTCCAGAGTATCACTGACATTAGTTTGTGAAACCAGTTTTAAATGTATTTTGTAATATATTTAAACGAACTTAAAATATATGTTACAGTATTATGGTCATCACATACCATCATTATTTTTTATCCAAAGTAACTATAGTCATATATGAAACTTGTAGGCGTGTGTTTGTCCATTTTTCCGTGGTGAGAATGCCCCAAGTGCAGCTATGAAAATATTAAATGAAATAATTCTTAACCATCTAATGAAGCAGCTTAGTAAGCTTTGTGTTACAGCCTCCTGTCAAAGACTTTCACTAGATGTTTGTATGCTTTTTTACTTTAAAAAGGAAAATATTGTTCAAAGTGTCCACCTGAGCAATGGGATGTACATAGAGGATTTGTAAATCCTTCCAGGGAGTTGTAATCGGAGAAAAAGAGCACATTTGATATATGTCACTGTCTCCAGGAAAATCTGGTGGAAGATGTCCCAACGTCCAAAGCATAATACTACTTTTGTACCAAATATTGTGCTGGGTGACATTTTCCTTTTACTTCCTGCTATTGACCATGGGCGTGAACTTGGTCCAGTCCCTCCACTCCCTGGGCTTCAATTTCATCATCTGTTAAATAAGATGTTTGTACTGGAAACAGGTGACCTCAGAGGTCACAGCTCTAAACTTCTGTAATTTATTCAGAGCTGGAGAACCCCGCGACATTCCTTTGCATTGATACGAATAATTCTTTTATTTAGAAAGAATTTTCTTAGGGCAAAGTTATGCTTGAATACAAAGGCACCTTTTAAAAATCTGGTGCTATTCAAAGCTTCACTGGTTATATGGAATTTGGTGTCACGAACACACAATAGCAGGATTCAGAGGTGGTGGTAACAGCAGGCCCGGAACTCAAAGAGCAGGGCCTGGCATCCTGTTCCTGCCTCCCCGAGCTGAGAGAGCTGGCCACGTGTCAGCTTCTCCATTCACAAAATGGCAATGACAATGCTTACAGTAGCCACTTCTCAGAGATTTATGAGAACTAGATTAGAAGGGACAAAATAAAGTAATGTAAAGTCCTTAGTATTTTCTGAGCATGCTGTAGACACGTTGAAAAGTTGCTAGAAACCCAATTAGTTCAGAATTTTCTTCTTTAAAATCTAGCACTTTGGCAACTACAGCCAATGTCTGCGTTGGATGAATCCCGGATGTATATGTTGAGATGCGTCCTCAAACTCTGTGTGGTAGGAGCTGGCCAGGCCGGCTGTCCCTGTCCCATTTCTTTCTTCCCTCGGTGGATTCCACGTGGTGCTAGGGCTGCTTCCTTTGCTCTAAAAGGGATTCTGTAGGTATTTGCTTCTTTCCTCTACAGTGCTTCTCAGGGACTTTCTTACCAAATGCTTTTCCCTCTTTGCATTATCTAAGCTCATGGGTAATAAAAAGTAGCTTCATTCAAAAAGGCCCAGGGACCCTTAGGGTTAGTCTCAGTTGTGCACCAAACTGTTGGTTGACATCTAGAGAAACCATTCACTATACACTCAGCAGAATAAAAAACACCATATTTAATTAATTAAATAGATAATTTAACGATTGCAAAGCCCATGTCTAGACTCTGATTCCCCCAGCCAGCGTTCTCATAGTACATGAGTGATGAGTTCTGAAAGGTACTTGATACAGAGCACATTTAAAAACTGAAACTATTCCCCATTGTTTGGGTTACTGTTACGGTATCATGACACAGCCTCAATTTCTGAGATGGATTGAGAAATAATATACGAGGCATGGTTTTGTATTGTGTGTTATAGTCAATCACCTGGATCCTCCCCAAGGCCCTGAGTTAATTCCTTAGAAGACTCTAGTGGGTGGGTTAGTGCAGCATCATTGCTCCAGGCCGTGTGATCTCCTACCAGGGACAGGAAAGTAGGATATTGATTCATAATCCAAAATGCCACATGGAGTTCTACTGTGAGCCGTTCTAATATCGCTTTATGTCCAACTCTGCCTTTCAAAAGGAATGGATTCATTTTTTAACTCAATTACTTATAGACCCTTTGAGTAATATTTAATATCCCTAAGGTGGGGGCAGGAGAGCGCTGTATCTACTGAGAACATTTCATCGAGGCCCGGGACGGGGTAGTTGTGGGGCCTTGATGGGCCTGTTTTCTCACCTGCAAACAGGGGAGATTGTAATAGACCTGAACTTCAAAGAGCTGTTTTCTTCGAACATAGAGAAAATGTAACAACTGAAGTAAGAAATCCAGAAAAGAGTGGAATTCGAAGCTGAAGAAGCTTCTGCTTCCTATTGAATGTCAGAACCCAGAATCCAGGGCCGCCTGAAGGGTGAGCAAACTGCTCTCTCCTCGCCATTGGCCCCATTCCTGTCCCTCATTTCTGCTGTAATGAATTTGGGCAACCACTGGTTTCAGTCCACCCATCTATATATTGGAAATAAAATACCTGCTTCATAGAATGAAACGATACATGTCATTTCATAGTGTGTGTCGCCTAATTGGTAATGCAAATGCAATGCATAATCTTGATTAATGAACAGTCTCATGGTTGCATGAGGTAGGCAGGCTCGTCAGCACCACACTGTACGGAAACCAAGGCCCTTGGAAACGGGCTTGGGTTAGAGTCCTGCATCTGGCTCTTGTTTTTCTTTTTCTTTTCTTCCTCACCTGAGGATATTTTATTATTGATTTTAGAAAGAGAGGAAGGGGGGTGAGAGAGAGAAAATCACTGATGTGAGAGAGAAACATTGATCGGTGGCCTCTTCTTCATGCCCCGAAGAGAGATCTAACCCACAACCCAGGCCTGTGCCCTGACTGGGAATCGAACCTGCAACCTTTTGGTGTACAGGACAACACTCCAAGCAACTGAGCCACCTGGCCAGGACTAGAGCCTTTGGATTGCTCCTTCACTCTTCTGAGCTTCAGTTTTTTTCCCCCGGGGCTGTTGTGAGAGTTAAGTCAGGTGCCACTGACCATTTCCATCACTGCGGAACTCGGGGGTGGCACTGATAAGTGTATGAAATACCTAACACGATGCCTGGCATACAGTAAGTGCTCACTAAATGTTTCCCTCTGCTCTGCTGTCAGCTAGTGAATGGTTTGACCAGGCCTAATCTTGCATTTCTTTTGGGAGTTACATTCTCAGCTGTCCATTTACCAAAGTCTTCTATTCCCTCTGTTCTAAAACCAAGGCAACTTTATTAATGAAAAAAAAAATACGATGAGGTTTGTTGAGTCACCTTGTTTTTTCCTGTAAAGACAACCATGTACTATGTAGTTAAGGTAATTACACAGTCAGTTATTAGGTTGATTATTCAATAATTAGGGTTTATTATGAGGACGGATTTACGTTATCTTGATTGGTCCTTCCTATTTCACGCAAGGCTGGCTGAGTGTTGAGAAATAATATTGTATAAATATCGGAAACCAGTGATGCCCTTTTTAGATTAGGTTAAATCATAATCTCGCAGGAAATTTTCTGAGACTGCTTTCCAAAGAGGGACGTTATGAAGCTTTGAAAACTATCCAATGAGAGGACTGGATTCTCTCTGCTCCCAGCCAATGTTATGAGCTGTCCCAGAAAGTATAAGCTTCACTTTGAACATATTTGGTTGAAAAATTATTTATTTTCTAAAGAAGTCTCCATAATACACCCTAACTCTAAGATTCCAAAAATTATGCTCATTTTATTATTATTTTTTTCCTGGCAACATACCACTTTCAGAACTGTTAGCATCTAGAAACTCAGAACCTCTAGCAGACTCCGTGAAGGAGTATTCTGGATGTCTCAATGGCGGATCTACTCGTGGAGTGGCAGCCCTGAGATGTGACCTCCAGAACAGTATAGCTTGGCCTTTCTTTGCCGGGTCATCGCACCGTGGCCGATTCTTTGAGGTGCAGCCGAACTGAGGCGGTGAGAAAGCAGATGCCCTCTTGTGCCTCAAGCCCCAAACAGAAGGAATGGACCCCAGTCTTTATTGTTACTGTCCTGTCACCGGATCTTAGGTGACCCTGGGCAGCAGCTGGTTGCCTTAGAATTTTTCCAAATAATTGATGTACTGAAGACTAAAGAAATGAAACAGACTTTCCTAAGTCCAAATTTAAGGTACAGTAAGAAAATACCCTCCGCTGCCTTTGTTCACAGTTAGTTTGAGGTCTTTGCCATTTTCCTGGCAATTGCCTTTTATACTGATTTCTCTTCCCCCAGTTCTGTGCATACGTACCCGCCTTCGAGTTCCAGGGTCACCCAGAATCTTACCTGCTCTTGCAGGCTGCTGATGTTCTCCTCATGCTGGGAATAATCTTGCTTCCGGCCGGGGTCTCTCTGTTGATGCCATTTCAGGATGCGGCTCTCCAGCCTCTCATTGGATGCCTCCAGGGCGCGCACCTTGTCCAGGTAGGAGGCCAAGCGGTCGTTGAGGTTCTGCATCATCGCCTTCCCATTTCCACCTGGGAGGGAACTGCCTCCTTCCGAGCCCCAAGACCCTCCAGGGGACAGGCAGCTTGGCGAGGTGACTGAAAGGGAGATGCGGACCCCCCCAGCACCCCCGTGGACACTGGGAGCCCGGGGGAAGCCCCCTGGCCAGCTCCAGCCACCTCCTGGGCCATGGACAGAGCCTGAGGGGATGTGGCTGAAGCGGTGGCTGGAATTCATGGTCCCATCTGCGTGCGGGGCGGGGCTGGGCTCTGCTCTGCTCCCTGGCACCACAGGACTGAGCCGCCCCAGACTGCCCTGGATGGTTTTATGCCCTTTGCCGTGGGAGTTCCCTTCTCTGACAACTGTACCAACAAGATCGTATCCTTGTGCAACATGTGTTTCCTCTCGGTCCGCCCCGAGGCGCCCGGGCCTCCACACACTGTTGTTGTTCAGGGCCACGCGGATACACCAGTTCGTTCCTCCCTTCCAGCTGCAGCCCGGAGGTGTGGCCCGCGACAGGAGGTGGCTGTTAGTCTCACATGTCTTTTTAATCTTTTGTGGAGTTTTTCCAATGTTTATTTATTTGAAAAGGGCAGATTAAAGTCCCCAAAAGGCTTATTGGGTGTAGGACAGATCTGCCTTTAAAAAGAAGACATTAATCACACAGACACAGAGTCCCCTCCCCTCCAAATAAATCCCTGCTCTAAAGTGAGGGTGGCAGAGACCCCCCGGGGGAGGGGCCAGAGCAGAACAGAACAATAGCCCCCCCCCCCCCCATACAAGCACTTGTGCTGAGGAGGTGGAGAACGGCCACGTAGCTGCTGCCTTTGTGGTGGCCGGTGTTGGATGGAAAGTAATTTCAAAGGAATCATTCTTAAGAGCAAACCCTCAATTATAATTAATTAATAAATGACCGAGCCTTCCGCTTTCATCCCCAGCACACCTCAAAACCCAACCACCCTGATCCGCACTCAGGACTTCCCTCGGGCGCTGGGAGGACAGCCTCTGTCCTGGCCAGCAGCCCCGTCCTGGCTGAAAGGCCGGGTCCTGTGGCCGAGGAGGGGACAGAGAGAAACAGGAAATGTGCCACGGGCTGTCTAGCATGCTGTCTAGCGTGCTTGATGGATCTTACGCTTGTCTGCCAAGGTAAAGGTTAGGAATGAATAAAGAAGTCTGGGGGTGGGGAGCCACGTGCTGGTTTTTGGCAATGGGGTGTAAAAGGGATTTAGAAATAAAGTGGCAGCAGCAGAAGGGACTTCCATTCCCCGGGTCAAGCCACCAACGGCCCAGAAAAACTGAGGTCCATGGGGCAGCGGGGAACGGAATGGCAGAGGACGGACTGTGGGTTAGTAGCAAAGCCAGGGTGGGACTCCCTCTGCGTCGCGGTGCTGTTATCACCCAGTTGGATCTTAACAGAATCCTGTGCAGCACTTCTCTGTGATAAGGGTGATAATGGGACCTCCCAGTTTGCAGAGCCCTTTGATGGGCTCTTTACTCAATTGGCACAGCCATGGATGTGCGCAGGCAGGAGTATTGTTCCCATTTTGCAGAGAAAGAAGAGGCGGATGAGTCAGAGCTGATTGGCATGTGCAATGTGATTCAGTACTCGAGTTTGTAGGTCTGACGGTCGGTTGGCCAGAGCCTGTGCTGTTTCCACTGCTTGGAAAATCACTGCCTGTGCCTCGCACGCTTGCATCCCCACCTTCAAGATGTAGCTCAAAGGTGACTTTCTGCAATGATCATTTCCTGAATTCGCCTGCATGAGTTGGGTGTTTCTTTAGTGAGGAAACTGCCTCATCCGCATCCCAAGGTCCTCCAGAGGGGCAGCCTACCCCATATCTTTGCTCCACCAAGGAAGCTGGGAGCTCCTGGCAGGACCCCACCACCCCCGGATCTGAGTCCATTCCTGCTCTTTCACTCACCACATATAAAAAAGTTATAAAAGCTTATCTGAGCCAAATTGACGACATGTGCCAGGGAGCAAGACCTCAAATGCTCCTCACTGGCCACACTGCGCCGCACTTGTTACACTCCTGGGGGACTGCAGACTTCTTGAGAGCAGGGGTTATGTCTCCCATCTTTCACGCACCGAAGTCTGGCTTCTTATAAGCCTTTCACAAGTGAGTGTCAACTTGGTAATGAACTTTTTGGAGTCATGATTTTGACATAGGTTCTCTGGCACCATCGCCAGCTGCCCTTTTCAGGAGTGTGAGTCGTAAAACCAGAGAGCAGAAAAAGCCTCTCCCCGGGCTGCACTAGCCAGCCACAAAGGCAAAGTCATTCCTAATTGCAAATAATATCACTAAAGCACACCCGCTCTGCCTGTCCGCCCCAGCAACAACCCTGGTGTGAGTCCTCCGGACTTGCCTCATCTCACGGTGGCGGGGGAATCTAGCCACAACGAAAGGAAGCCGTGGGGGAGCGTGGAGGTGGTGCCGCTTTAACACATTCCACAGTCGCTCACATCTTTGCACAGGAACAAAGAGGGAGACAGGACAAAAAGGGCAAATGAGAGAAACAGAGACTTACCTGGTGGGCGTGGATGGTTCCTGAATCCGAGTGTGACGGGCGTGTGCTCACACGGACCCCGTCTCCCATCTGTAGGATGCGCCAGGGCCCCGCCGCACTCGGCTGCACATTTGGTGAATCTTTTGGTCACACGGGGATGTGGTCGGTAACAGGGAATGGAGACTTTGCAGGAGAGGCCGGGCGGTGACTGAATGAATGGGGTTGCGTGGGGGCACATCAGGGGTCAGGAGGCAGCCCTGTCAGCGGGTGTGAACTGGGAGCACGGGGTGCTTGCGCCCTTCAAAGGCAGTCGCCCCATCACTGAAGTGCTCCACAGGCACCCTCCTCTTTACAGTGAGGGGAGAACGGCCAAAACAACCCCCCACGCAGGTTTTCACTGCGCATGACACTTCAGAGCAGATGAGTAGTGGACCTGCAGGCGAAATTGCTGTGTCATTATCCTCTGAGTTGGAGGGTCACGTGAAAAGGTTAGACATTTTATAGAAATAAAACACAGCTTCTTCAGGGGCACCAGGTCAGACATGGCATAAGTGCCTGAGGTTATCGAACTGTAGCCAAATAAAAATAAAATGTTCTCCTGTTTTGATTTGTCCAGGGAAAAGGGGCCAACAGATAGAAGGTTCACATGAGAAGTATTCAGTGTAGTATTTCAGACTACAATGAAGGCAAGGCAACCTGAAGTTGCTTCTAAGTAGTAGCATTTGTATTCATGGACTGACATACAAGGAAAAATAGTGAAAAAAAACCCCACAGAAGCAAAAAGACTCTTAAGATCACGGTAGAAAGTCTTCTCAAAGGGTGAGTAAGGAGGCAACTGTTTGAAGGGGAATGCTTCTTAGTCTGATTTTGAAAATTTTTAAATTAACTGCATTGAGGTAACATTGGTTAATAAGTGTTATGGGTTCCGGTGTGTGATTCTATAACACGTCGTCTACACGCTGCACTGTGTGTCCACCACCCAAAGCCAAGTCTCCTTCCATCACCACGTACTCAACACTCTTCACCCTCTTCTACCTCCTCCCACCCCTCCCCCTCTGATAGCCACCGCACTGTTGTATGTGCCTGAGTTTTTGTTTTCTTGTTCATGCATTTGCTGCTTCTGTTTTGTATCCCGCACGTGAGTAAAAGCCGCCCGGTTCTGGGTGACCGGATGAAGAACCATGGCATGCCACTCGGCCATAAGAAAACAGGAAACACTGCCGTGTGTCACGTGGATGGATGCTACGTGGGATAAGTCAGACAGAAACCGTGGTCACTCTGATTTTTGAAGCAGGGAAGAATTAGACGGGGATGCAGAGGTAGACAGAGACTCAGAAGTGGCCACAAACAAATAGCGTTCGGAGCCTTAAGACAAGAGATAGGAAATTGGAAGAAGAGACTGTATCAGAATGAAGAAAGAGGAGGTAGATCCCAATTCTGTATCGATAGAAGCTCAACCCAGTAAGTGTTCAGTAAGGTCCTAACCTGCATCCACATGTTCCTGAGCTGTTTGGAACATACAACATATGAAAGACGTGTTTGCTACCCACTCTGCACGTCAAGCACCGTCATCCTTGCGCTTAATTCTAAGAAAGCCTAAAGGCCCAGGCTAAGGCCGGCTTATCTTTAATTCCTCAATACTCCCAGTTTGTAGAGGGCCATGGCAGGCCCCCCATAAATGTTCATTAACTTTGGTCTAGGGAGGCATATAAGGCAGTCATGGATTGTGTGGAAGAGACTAAGGGAGGTAGGAATGGGATGAGAAAGAAGATTCTGGGCAAGTGCAGTTAGAAATGATAAGCTCTCCAGTGGAGCAGAGGCAACCGTTCTGGTGCTGGGGAAGGAGCAAGGGGCCCCAGGTAACAGAATCAGGAAGAGTTGGCTAGAAAGGAAAGACAAATCCTGTAGAATTTCCCCAATTCTGGATTTTGCTGATTGAATTCCCATCGTATTTTTAACATAGTCCTCTGGCCCCTGTATTTCTTGTAAGGTGGATCTAAGAGCTTTATTAGATCCAGGCTTGCCATTTTGGACAAGAATACTCAGGAGGGAGTGTTGTGAGCAGTACTGCCTAGTGTTCATGTGTAATGAAGTTTCTCACACCCCCCTTGCTTGGCCTTCGATGCTGACGCTCTTGTAGCATCTGTAGCCTGTGTAAAAATCTCCCAGCTACAAAAACAAGACAGTGCTGAGAACTGGGAATTCAGTGGATAGAGTTCAGGGAGTTAGTAAAACCTTTAAAGCTGTATGTGAAATTTTCTCTCCATGTTTATAGGTTCACTCCTTTGAGGAGAGATTACGGGTTTCATGACGTTTTGGAAGGAGAATAGAAATTGAAAAAGGATCCGATGATATAAAACTTTAAAGGCTCCTTTTCTCTGTTGGCCTGTAGTTACCAACAGAATGTTTAGGATTTTCATGGGAACATAATATTAGACTTAGAAATGAATCATGCTTACCATCCATCTCATACCCGTAATTTGACAGGCCGACTCACGGCCAGTGACGGCAGAGCGAGGGCTGGTAGCAGGACCCACTGTGTCGTCACAAAGGTCCTTCTTCTCTCCGTGAGGATTTTTAAGACCACAGAGGCGGTGCTCGGGGCTCACTAAAGTTCGTGCAGTGTGGGAGTCATCCACGGGCTTGTTCACTTACAGACGGCCAGCTGTGTTTCAGAGGTTTCCACTGTATTTCTCTCCACCCCCAAACTCTGCATTTTGTCTCTGATCCCATTGTTGGTTAAACTCCATAGCCACAGATAACTAGGGTTA